GCAACCGACAGAATGCGAGAAGATATTTGCAAATGGCATATCAGATAAAGGGTTAGGATCCAAAATCTATAGAGAACTTCTCAAACTCAACACCCGAAAAATAAATAATCCAGTGAAGAAATGGGCAAGAGACATGAATAGACACTTCTCCAAAGAAGAAATCCAGATGGCCAACCGACACATGAAAAAATGCTCAGCATCACTGATCATCAGGGAAATACAAATCAAAACCACAATGAGATACCACCTCACACCTGTCAGAATGGCTAACAGTAACAACTCAGGTGACAACAGAGGTTGGCGAGGATGTGGAGAAAGAGGCTCTCTTTTGCATTATTGGTGGGAATGCAAGCTGGTGCAGCCACTCTGGAAAACAGTATGGAGGTTCCTCAAAAAACTAAAAATAGAACTACCCTACAACCCAGCAATTGCCCTATGAGGCATTTATCTAAGGGATACAGGTGTGCTGTTTTGAAGGGTCACATGCACCCCCATGCTTATAGCAGCACTATCAACAATAACCAAAGTATGAAAAGAGCCCAAATGTCCATTGATGGGTGAATGGATAAAGAAGATGTGGTATAGATATATATCCAATGGAGTATTACTCGGCAATCAAAAAGAATGAAGTCTTGCCATTTGCAACTATGTGGATGGAACTGGAGGGTATTATGCTAAGTGAAATTAGTCAGAGAAAGACAAAAATCATATGACTTCACTCATATGAGGACTTTAAGAGACAAAACAGATGAACATAAGGGAAGGGAAGCAAAAGTAATATAAAAACAGGGAGGGGGACAAAACAGAAGAGACTCATAAATATGGAGAACAAACTGAGGGTTACTGGAGGGGTTGTGGGAGGGGGGATGGACTAAATGGGTAAGGGGCATTAAGGAATCTCCTGAAATCATTGTTGCACTATATGCCAACTAATTTAGATGTAAATTTTAAAAAGTAAAAAATAAAATTTTAAAAATAAATAAAGCAATGATCATAAAAAGTGCCTCAGTCAAAAGTGAATAATTATGGGGCGCCTGGGTGGCGCAGTCGGTTGAGCGTACGACTTCAGCCAGGTCACGATCTCGCGGTCCGTGAGTTCGAGCCCCGCGTCAGGCTCTGGGCTGATGGCTCGGAGCCTGGAGCCTGTTTCCGATTCTGTATCTCCCTCTCTCTCTGCCCCTCCCCCGTTCATGCTCTGTCTCTCTCTGTCCCAAAAATAAATAAACGTTGAAAAAAAAAATTAAAAAAAAAAGTGAATAATTATGACCATTCTTAAAATAAATGAAAAACAGAAAATATTAGCAAAGAAATAGAAGATCTACAAATGAACCAAATGGAAAATATAGAACTGAATTATGCAATAACCAAAGTTAAAAACTCATAGGACAGTTATCTTTCGTTTGGTTTTCAGACAGACGTCATTCTCTAATCGTCACTTTTGGTCAGATTACTAAGAAGCGCTGTTCAAAACGTCGTAATACCTGAGTTCAGCAGAAACTGCTTACAATTGAGAAAATGCCGCCTCTTGAAACGGATGTAGAAGTGGAAACTGAAGAGGTTTTAAAGATGGACCATCATATGGTACAGGAGCTTACAGACCTATGCTCGAAGATAAAGAGGCTACTGTCCGAGCACTTGGGAAAGTATAAGAGAATTGAAAAAGAACGGAAACGTGCAAACCCGGTCAGTCACAAAAACGAATTACAGAAATAAATGAAAAACAAGAGAAACTCAGCATGCAGAAAAAAAGGGAAAAGATAGAAGAGACATCTACAGAATCTCTCCAAGAGTTGCAATCCACGCATACTAAGAATACCTGAAATAGATGGCAAAGCAAATGAAGCAGAAACAATAATTCAGGAACCAATAGAAGAAAATTTTCCAGATTTGAGGGACTAACTAGATCGGTAAATAGAAAAGCTCATAGGCTACCAGTAGAACTTAACGAAAAGAAAGCAACACTTTGGACATACCCTAGTGACGTTAAACTGGAAGATAAAGAAAAAATTCTACAAGTATTCAGAGAAAGCAGGTTACTTATAAAGGGGTAAAAGTCAGACTGACCTGATATTTCTTTTGCAGCTCTAAATGCCAAAAAGGCAATAAAGCAATGTCTACAGAGATTTAAGGGAAAAATAATTTTGGGCCAAGAATTCTGTATCCTGCTAAGTTATCATTTCTATACGAGGGCAACTGGAAGACATTCACAGATATTCAGGAGTTAAAGTATATCACCCAAATGCTGTCCTTGAAAAATGTGTTAAATGATGTTGCTGCAACCCATAAACACCGTAAGTTAAAACAATTCAATTGTAGTGAGACAATTGTATGGAAAAAAAAAAATTAGGGTAAAAAAAAAAGTGGGTAAGCATTAAAGGTAGTTAAACATCATTAAGATTAAATTGTTAGCTATAGGGTTATAAGACTAAGTGCAAAAATAGATTTGTAAGTTCATTCTAAAATTTCAGTTTCTCTCATTGTAAACTGAAAAAGTGTGGTAAATGTTTAATTTAGAAAGCAAGTAAGTGCTGTTATTTTTAGTATGTAATGTAGATAAAGATATGCATGCTCTTCAGCTAAACATAAGTAAAATAAAAGGGCTTTGTCAGTGTGGACAGGACACATAGAGTAAAGGCATTCCAAGTGTTAATCTGACAAAATGGGAAATCAGTACAGTTTTATGTCCTCTATTTTTATTATAGAGGGGGAAAAAATAACAAGTTTATAATGTGAATACTGTGTAAAAAGAAAATTTCTAAATCCCTGGTTGGGGAGGTGGTAGATGAAAACCTTGTTTTATGTACATCTTGTCCAGGGAAAATCAGTAGTTCCTGCTTCATATAGTAGTTCGTTATAAGTAAATTTGACACTGAGATAAGGTTACAGGTAGATTATAGTATACCAGTTTTACAGATTGGAGAGGAAGTGCGAAAAACAGCAAGGAAACATTAAAATTAACATAAAATAGATTGACAGAGGTGAATTATCACACTCATAATCAGGCTAAATACCTCTGTTAAAAAGATTCAAATTGGGTCAAAAATCAGTCTCTGAACCTGAATGTTCACATTTGTACAAAATAAAGGATAAAGGAATTTAAAGATAATGAAAACCATAAGTCATAAAAATTGAAGTAGGAGCAACGTTTTTATCAGAATTTAAGTTATAATAAAGTATAAAACTGTAGTATGTAATATTTAAGCTTTGTGTGGTAAATAACATGGCATTCATATGTAAAATGATCAGTATCTGAGTGGTAGTTTTACTGATGTATACATAGTTATTTTAATTGTAGACTTAAAATTGTTTCATTTTATGTACTTAATAAAGTAATTCTTAACATAAAAAAAAAAAAAAACTCGTAGGACAAACTCATCAGAGCTGACATAGGGAACAATCAGTGAGTTCAAAGTCAAATTGATGGAAATTACCCAGTTGGAACAACAGATAGAAAATAGACCACACACACACGCACACACACACACTGCATCTCTTAAAAGAGCAAAAGGATAAAATTGGAATACTACAAACAAATCCGTACATATAAATTCAGCAAAATAAATGAAATGGACAAATTCTCCAAACTATAAACTATCAGAATTCACCTAAAATGGAATAGATATTCTGAGTTGCCTTATAACTATAAAAGAGATTACATTTCTAATTTAAAGGCTTTCAAAAAAGAAATATCAGGCCCATATGGTTTCACTGGAAAATTCTACCAAACATTCCTCATTCTACCAAAAAAATCCTCATTGATTTTACATAATTTACACAATTTTACACAGTCTCTTCCAGAAAATAAAAGAAGGAGGAACACTTCGGGTAATCAGCATTACTCTGATACCCAAAGCAGACAAAGACACTAAAAACAAAACTATAAACCAATAGCTATCATGAATGTAGATGCAAGAATTCTCGATAAAATATTAGCAAATAGAATCCAGCAATATATAAAAAGATCATATGCCATGACTAAGCAGGATTTATTCCAGAAATGCAAGGGTATTCCAACATTTGTACATCAATGTAATCCACCATATCATATAGGTTAAAGAAGAAAAAAATCCCATGATCATATTTATCAATGCAGAGCAAGCATTTAACAGAATTAGATGTTCATTGATGATAAACACAGCAAATTAGGAATTGAGGGAAATTTTTTCAACTTTATGAAGAGCATCCACAAAATATCTACAGCTTACCTATCATACCTAATGATGAAAGAATGAATGCTTTCCCCCTTTAGACTGGGAAAAAAGGCAACGATGTCCACCCTCACTACTCTTATTCAGCATAGTACTGGAAGTTCTATCCAGTACGAGACCCAGATCGGAAAGAAAGAAGTAAAACGGTCCCTAATTGCAGATGACATTATTACATACATAGAAAATCTCAATGAATCTATAAAAAAAAGCCCTAGAACTAATAAGTGGGCTGAGTAACATCACAGGTACAAGGTCAACATACAAAAATCAGTCATATTTTTGTATACAGAGATATAATAAATCTAGAAAGGAACACACGGAAAATAAAATTGTAAACACAATACCATTTACAATCACTTCAAAACACTTGGAATACCTAGGTATAAATCTAACACAACATGTACAGGATCTATAAGATAAGAGTTACAAAGTGCGGATGAAAGAAATCAAGACCATCTAAAGAAATGGAGAGATATGCCTGGACTGGAAGATTCACCACAGCAAAGATGTTAATTCTCCTCAAATTGATCTATATCACAATTTCTATCAATCTCAGCAAGATATATGTAGGGCTAGACAAGCTTATTTTAAAATTTGAAAAAGAAGTATAAAGTGGTAGGAATCACTCTACCCAACATTAAGACTTATCATGTATGACATTAGTAATCATATTAACACAGGGCAGTGGAGGAATAGCTATATGGAACAATGAAACAGAATAGAAAACTCAAATATACCAGCACAAATACACTTGACTAATTTTTGACAAAGGGATAAAGAAGTTCAATAGTGGAAAAATAGCCTTTTTAACAAATAGTGCAGAGCGATTGGACATCTGTAGACAAAAAAATTACATGAACCACAACCTAAAGAATACACCATACAAAAAAATTAATTCAGATGGATCATGAATTTAAATGTAAAATGTAAAACTATAAACTTTTAGGAGAAGCACTTGAGAATCTCGGGCTAAGCAGAGAGTTCTTAGATATAATACCCAAAATACAATCCAGAGAAGAAAGCATGGTAAATTGGACTTAATTGAAATAAAAAATTTGTGGGGCATCCTGGTGGTACAGTCAGTTAAGCATCTGACTTCGGCTCAGGTCATGACCTCACAGTTTGTGAGTTCCAACCCTGCATCGGGCTCTGTGCTGACATCTCAGAGCCTGGATCCTGCTTCACGTTCGGATTCTGTGTCTCCCTCTCTTTCTCTCTGCCCCTCCCCAGCTTGTGCTCTCCCTCTCTCTCTCTCTCAAAAATAAATACATAAATAAACTTTTTAAAAAATTGAAAACTTTTGTGATATGGAAAACCCTTATAAGAGGATAAAAACACAAGCTACAAACTGGAAGAAAATATTTGCAAACCACATATCCAGCAAAGATCTTAAATTTGGAATATTAAAGAATTCTCAAAACTCAGATTTAAAAAAAAAATCATCCAGGGGTGCCTGAGTGGCTCAGCTGGTTGAGCATCCAGCTTTGGCTCAGGTCGTGATCTCACGGTTTGTGAGTTCGAGCCCCACATCGGGCTCTGTGCTGACAGCTCAGAGCCTGGAGCCTGCTTTGGATTCTGTGTCTCCCTCTCCCTCTGCCTCTCCCCCACTTGGGTTCTGTCTCTCTCTCAAAAATAAAATGTGGGGGAAAAAGCTGTTGAAAAGCTGAAACCTGTAAATAGTGATAGTAACAAGAGTGAGGATGTGAAGCGATTGGAACTCTCATGCATTGTTGATGGAAATGTCAAATGGTACGTTCCCTCTAGATAATTGTTTAGTAGCTACTTATAAGAACTAACAAGTCTTACTTACTGTTTGAATCCACAATTTCCCTTAGACATTATCCCAAAGAAATGGGAACTTATATTTACATATAAACCTGTAAGGGGCACCTGGGTAGCTCAGTCGGTTAAGCATCTGACTTTAGCCCAGGTCATGATTTCATGGTTCATGGGGTTGAGCCCCACATCAGGCTCTCCGTTGTTAGCACAGAGCCTGCTTTAGATCCTCTGTTCCCCCCTCTCTCTGCCCCTTCCCTGCTGGTTCTCTCTCTGTCTCTGTCTCTCACTCAAAATAAATAAATAAACTTTTTTTAACCTGTACATTAACAAACATTCATAGCAGCTTTATACATAATAACCAAAAACCAAAAACACATACTGAGTGTCTTTCAATAGGTAAATGGCTAAAGAAACCTGGCACTTCCATGCAATTAAGTACTACTCGGTAAAAAAAAAGAAAGGAACTATTGATATATGTAACAACCTGAATGGATCTCAAGGACATTTGGCCTAGTGAAAAAAGCCAATCTCATAAGGTTACATACTATATGATTCCTTACATGTAACATTCTCTAAAAGACAAAACTATGAAGATGGAGAACAGATTAGTGGTTGCCAGGGGATAGGAATGAATATAGGACTTAAGAACTCTAAGGGAATACCCAAGAGAGCTCCTTTGTGTTGATAAAACAGATCCCTCTGTTGATTGGGTGATAGCTAACATAAATCTGTATTTGGGATAAAACCACATAGAACTATACACACAGACATAAACACAAATCAATGCTTGCGAAATTTGTGAAAACTGAATAAGATCTGTTTATATTTTACCAGGGCTAATTTTCTGATTTTGATATTGTGCTGAAGTTATATGAATTATATATTGCAGGAAGCTGAGTGAAGGGGACAAAGGACTCTACTATTTTTGCAATCTTTGATAAATGATTTCAAAAGAAAACTTTTTAAAAAGTTCTTTTTTATTTTTTTTTTAATTTTTTTTTCAACGTTTATTTATTTTTGGGACAGAGAGAGACAGAGCATGAACGGGGGAGGGGCAGAGAGAGAGGGAGACACAGAATCGGAAACAGGCTCCAGGCTCCGAGCCATCAGCCCAGAGCCCGACGCGGGGCTCGAACTCACGGACCGCGAGATCGTGACCTGGCTGAAGTCGGACGCTTAACCGACTGCGCCACCCAGGCGCCCCTAAAAAGTTCTTTTTTAAAAAATATTTTGACTAGATTATGAAACAGTTAAGTAGGGCAATGTATTAATGTATTTCTACAATGAACTTACTTGCATTTGTTATCCCAAATCTTTCCAGAGCTGACATTAATAGTTCTGTTCCAGTAAGAAAATGGAAATAAGTCAAGCATGATATTTGGAATAATGTAGAATGAACACAGGAAAAAAGTTTTCACTAGATGATCCCAATAATAATACTATGATATTAGTAATTATATTAGAAAAATGGAAGTATAAGTGATTCTTTTTTCTTCCTTTTTTAAAGAAATATGGGTAAATTATTTTATAATAAAAGGAAATGTTAACTACATAGAGGAGCTTTCCTATGTCAGGCATTATGTTAGGCTTGTTACATTATCGGATTTGTTCCTTGCAAACAAAAACTTTAGATATATGTTATTGGTATTGCTGTTGTACAGAGAAAACAGGATATCTGAAAACTTAGGTTGTTAGTCTGAGCTTTACTAATCCTAGTAATTAATAAACTGAAGACTTGGCATCTGAGCTTCAGAGCCCAGTGCTCTTCTTTCTACTATTTAACGCTCATATGGAGAGAGTTTATGATAGTGTTAAGTTAGGAAAAACCATATAAAATGTGTGATTATCACAACTGCAAAAAACTGTGTGCATTTAAATGACAATAGCCAGGGTATTAGGGAAATGGGATTATGGGATATATTCCTTTAAAAATTTTTAATGTTATTACATTGTTATTTCAATTAAAATGTTTTGCAATTCTAATTTTAAATATTAATTTTTTTTCATGAAAAGTACTTTCATATTTCCCCTCTCTATATATTTACCTTGAAATAAGACAGGTTAGCTATAAGAAATGACCACAGGGGCACCTGGGTGGCTCAGTGAGTTAAGTGTCCGATTTCGGTTCAGGTCATGATCTCTCAATTTGTGAATTCGAGCCCCACGTCGGGCTCTGTGCTGACAGCTCAGAGCCCAGAGCCTGTTTTGGATTCTGTGTCTCCCTCTCTCTCTGTCCCTACCCCACTCATGCTTTCTGTCTCTCTGTTTCTCTCTTAAAAATATATAAACATTAAAAAAAAAATTAATGACCACAAAATGAGATATAGATATGAAATCAAGGACCTCTAAATACTGCAGAATACTGTGAATAATTATATTTTTAATGCCTTAGTCACCTGTTGTTTTGTGCCCTTGGACAGGCTTTGTTTGGGTTAAGATGTTTTCTTTGTGAGCTAATATATTTTTTAAGGAAATTTTGTCTAAATGAAATTCAGATTTTTAAAAACTCCTGGTGCTTTTCAGTTCCTTAATTACTGAGGAGTTATATAGTATACTAGGTTACTGAGCATCCAAGAAATTTGTGGTAAAAAAAACTTGAATGAGGAAAAACAACTTAGTAGATAGGATTCTGTCACTGTTTATTCCAGTTAACAGTCATACTTTGAAGTATGCTTACTTACGTACTTCATCAGATAACTATAATTACCTGACAAAGTTCAAATAGAATTGTAATCATTAAATCAGAAAGCATTATATGACAGATATTTTCATGCTATCCAGGAATCACTTCTGCAATGGCAGTTCTGTGTGCTTTGAGAAAGATTTTCTAACTTTTAGAAGCCTTTTCTGTCACTCAGCCTGGGCAGCCTGATCCTATGGAAATTCAGAGACAGCAACAGGCTAAGAGGAGGGCTCTTGCCAAAAAGCGAGCTCAAGAACAGTTCAGACCACGAACACCCGAGCCCGTGGAAGGCAGAACGCACGTGGATGTGCAGACAGGTATGTGACCATGCCATTGGCATCATGCCTCCTTGGTTTGCCCAGTTTTCTAAGCCCGTTCATTTTTATTTGGCTTTTCCATTATTTACATATCTGTTATGCTATGCAGTACTGCTCCGATCACATGGTAGTAGGAGTCCATTCATTAAACAGATTCATAGACTATGTTATTACATCGGGTATGAGATGGGGTTAGAAAAGAATTTGATGACCAAATTAATTCTGTCTTAGCCCTTTTCACATACTCGTTTCCCGAACTGTGATTATTTCTCCCTTTTTCTTTTTATAGCCCGACATGAATCACAGCTGGGACCTACAGGAGGAGAGAGCAGGGTAGTTCCATCTTGGCACTTTGTCTGTCTTTTAAAAGGAGTGAACTCATCCAGATCTGAGTCCTCCAACTCTCTCACCCCTGCCTTTTCTGTTCTCTGCTTTTAATCTCCTCTCACTGCGCATATTCCCCCAGGCCACACAAGCTCTGCTGGGCCAGTGCCAGGCTTTCTTGCTTGTCTGCCGGTTCTGAGCTAGGGAGGCTTACCTGGACCTAGAGGTCCCAGCTGTGTTGTTGTCAGAATCTTGGTAATCAGACAATACTTGGTGTTTTCCTTGGACTGATGTAACTATTAAGGATTCACCTTGGGGCGCCTGGGTTGCTCAGTTGGTTGAGCGTCCGACTTTGGCTCAGGTCATGATCTCGTGGTCTGAGTTCGAGCCCCACGTTGGGCTCTGTGCTGACAGCTCAGAGCCTGGAGCCTGCTTCGGATTCTGTGTCTCCTTCTCTGTCTGCTCCTCGCCTGCTCATGCTCTGTCTCTCTCTGTCTCAAAAATAAGTAAAAACATTAAAAAAAAAAAAAAAGGATTCACCTTGCACCTTGTCAAGATGATGAGTGGCTTCATCAGTTATTTCTGGGTAGTTAGGGCAAATGGAAGAGAACTATTTCATGCCTTTTCTCCCTACCCTGGGGCCAAGTCTAGAATGAGGATATGTCTGTAATTAGGCAATATAGTTGTAAATCTGTAAGAGCTAAATTTTAGTGTTTCTTTATACCAGCAGAATATTAAATGATACAGGAGCAACTACTTTGTGTTGAGTTTTCCTACATCTCAGAAACTATTCCAATCCTCTACGTGTATCTCCTTTCTTTATTATTAGAAGGACTCCTTGTGATGGTAATTATGATCCCTTTTACAGATAAAGAAACTAAGGCTCTAAGAAGATGTAACTTGACTAGGTCCTATGTTCAACATCTGACTCCAGTTCTCATGTTCTTTGCATGATAACCACGCTGACCTTGCCTCACATAAATTATTCCTAAGGTGAAATCTGTTTTCATAAGCCTGCTTATAATCTATAGCCTAGAGGGAACATCAGGTAACATAGTGACATGGTGCATAATTTTTTAAATATCCAGGAATTTTCAAATCTTTACACATTTACTATCTTAGAACTCAGTTTTATAGGTGGATTATTAACTTTTCATCCCCAATTATACTTTGCATCTTACAAACATCTAGGCCTCATGTTCTCCTTTAGTTCTGTTTTCAATACAAAGCTCAGTGCTTTCTCAACATTCAATAAATGTCCTAGCCTGACTAGCCCTTGGGTCTTCCAAATACATAAAAATGCTTAGTACAATATGTGAATTTCTTCCCACATTTGAGCACTTGTTTTCTGATCCATTTAATTCTGTTTTGAAGGAGTTAAAGTTTCAATACACATATATGCCTAAAAGAGACCAGAATTTCAAACTCAATGCGTATGGTATTCTCTTAGAAATGTACCTTGAAGAAATTGCTGACCGTATAATAGAAGTTGATGTGGAATGCCAAACAGATGCATTTTTGGACAGACCACCAACACCACTCTTTATTCCTGCCAAAACTGGCAAAGATGTGGCCACCCAAATACTAGAAGGAGAGGTACAGTACTTTATCTGGACTTCCCTCTATCTTCTTTATAAACAGGTTAAGTTAGGTTTAGTTAAAAGCTTACAAACCACTTCATAATCAGAAAGATTCTACTTATTGGATTTCTTTCCAACTGTACTTATAATAGTTTTATCCTGAAATAGCATATTCTGATTTCTCCTCTTTGCAGATCAGAAATTAAAATCATTAGAAATATTTTTAGAATGTCTGCACTTTGATTTTTGTGTGTTCGCATACTTGATTAATGTCTGAATACAAGGTAAATTTGTACCACATAAAGAAAAATAGCCTCTCTGGTATAAGATACTGGTATACGAGGTCCACTGTTAGCTGCTTATAAATTATATAATTTTCATTAAGATAATCTCCCTATGTTAGAAAAAAACTAAAATAATTTCATCTTCATATCAATGTAGAATACATAAATAAGCCAGTTTATGAAATGGAAGAAGAGAAGCCATGCTTATGTGCATAATGACTTGGGTGAGATTTAAGACTTGAAGAAACTTGAAAGAACTTCCATTGAAATTGAGAAATAAAATAAGTCTTCACAAACTACATCCAAGGGTATAGCTGCCTCTAAACCCTGGAGAAGAACCACCAAAATGCTCTTTATTCTTGTTCCTTAGTTCTTCAAAGTGTTAGTGAAAACAAACCAGTAAAAATTGAGTCGAAAGGGCAAAAACTGAGAAATACAAAGATATTTCTTTCAGGTTTCAGAGTCTGCTCTTAAAATTATTGAGTATCAGGGTTCATTTTGATGGCTCTGTAGGTCTTTATATAATTTGGACTCAAAATGATTTTTGCCTGTAAATGAAATGCTTATTGTGTGTGCCCTGTGGGGCTGTGTTGAGTGCTGGAAACCATTAAGTAAAGCACCATCACAGCATCTATAGCACACACAAGATCCTCAATAAACAGTATCCTGTCATGACTACTTTTCTGGATGTTGTTTCTTTCAGCATTTGGTTCATGACTCAGATTTTAAATTTGCTTTGTTTTGTGTGTTTAAGCTCTTTGACTTTGATCTTGAAGTTAAACCAATGTTAGAAGTTCTGGTGGGAAAGACCATTGAGCAGTCTCTTTTGGAAGTAATGGAAGAAGAAGAGTTGGCTAACCTGCGGGCCAGTCAGTATGCGTATGAAGAGTTACGCAACGTCGAACTTGCTGAAGTCCAGCGACTTGCAGAGCAAGAGAAACGACACAGAGAGGAAAAAGTATAGAACTCTAGTTTTCTTTCTTAGACAGTCTTTGGATATTTAACAGATCATGTTCTGAATCACACGTAGTATGTCATAGAGCTAGAGATCTTTGCAAATATGTTAGAAAAGAGTTTGTTGCTCAGTTATCTCCTATAGATCACAGAACTTTTACACACAGAAGCACATTCTTTAATACCAGCTTACATATATGTACCTAGAGTTCCCAAAAGTTTCTAAATGTAATTTTAATTACATTTGTAATTACATTTAATTTCATTTGTAATCACATATGTCCTGAGTGAAAGGCAGTCTTACATATCAAGATTCCTAGCAAAGGAAATGTATTGGTTTTTCCATAATCAGTGGCAGAAAAGTAGAAGGGAAAAGTGGACTAGACTGGGGATGGGTGTGGTGGAGAAGCAGAGGATCCAGACAGAATTCTGGGTCTTTTTTCTCAGTGGCCAGACCCTTCTCTATACCCTAGGGATTCTCCAGAACTTCTTCGCATAATATTGCTTCACATTACAAATTTTTAGAACTTTTAATAAGAAAAGTTCTAGGATCTAGTTTTTAAAATATGCCAATAACCTTCAATTAGGAAATGATAGGCTCAGTCATCTTTTAAGACTTTTTCTGGGTCTGGTAATAATTGTCGCCCTCTGTTGGACACCGAATGTATAAATTATGTAGGAGTGACTGAATACCTAAAAGAGTTCAAACAATTTCCCAAAGAGTCTCACTCACAGCACAGAATAGCTTAGTTGTTGGGATATTCTGCTCAATACCTAATTAAATTGACTTTTAGTTTTTCTCCAAAATGAATAATTAATTGCGTAAAGGGCATAGGGCTTATGGTAGAGATTATGCAAATGAAGACCATTTGTTTACAAATGTAAAATGATCAGTGGCAGTATTAGCTTTATTGAAATAATCAGTGAAATGCTCATCAAAGGAAACTTCTTGTTTATTTGCTATCAGGAAATAAACTGTGAAAACAATGAAGAATACAAATCGTCTAAATTTATATTTACTTAAATTCTGAAAATAGACTTAATAAGAAACTACGTTAATTTTCCCACTTCCACATGGGAGCAGAGAAGATGGTTCATTAGCTCTGTAGATATCCTATGGTCTACAAAAAGCAACAACAAAAAAAGGTTTATAATTTTCAGAATTTTATGAATTCAAAGAATCATTACAAATGACACAACTCGTTGGCCCAGGTACTTTAAATGAAGATATCTGAGCAACTATAATTTTCATATTGGTAGTTTACTATAATACTAGTTGCTAATAATAGTTATATATTATTCTTTGCTAACACCCATACGGTCAACCGTGCACGTGTTGAAATTCTTTTGCTTAAAAATGGATCAGCAGATGAATTTCACCTGAAGCTCCATCCCTTGTTTGACTTCTTGTTTGAAATTCTCTAAAACCTTCATGCACCATTAACGGATTCCTCGGTGTCCACGTTTTGATCCAAATCCGCGTCCAGATTCTTGTCCTCAGCACACGCGGCGCTGGGGGAGGACCGCGCGGCTGAGTAACCGTGTGCGGGCGTGTCTTGTGCGTGCAGGAGCGCCGGAAGCGACAGCAGTGGGAGGTGGTGTACAAACACAGCGAGACGGCGCAGAAAGTGGCGGCGCGCGTGTTCGCCCAGCGGTACCTGGCCGACCTTCTCCCCTCGGTGTTCGACAGCCTCCGGGACGGCGGCTACTTCTACGACCCCGTTGAAAGAGGTTTGTGGGGG